TGTTCCTGGCTGGCCAAAAATTATATTATAAAATTTTAAAATAAAAAAGGGGTAATTTTGCAAGGCCAAAGAGGATCAGTCAAAATTCTGATCCATCTATCACTGGGTAATAATCTATTCCCTCTAGGATCTCAGATCTAATGAGGAAGATGATATGTAAATAACTATGCACATATAAGGTACATTCATAGTAGCAGGAAAGTAACTTTGGAGGAGAAGTCACAAATGGCTTGTACACTCACAGAAGTATATTGACTAGAATGGAATAAAGGAGTTTGTAACCCTATAGAATTTTCTCACCTTTTTTTAAAATTAATTAATTTTTAGTTTTCAGCATTCACTTCCACAAGATTTTGAGTTCTGAATTTTCTCCCCATCTCTCCCCTCCCCTCACCCTAAGAGTGTTCATTCTGATTACACCTTCCCCAAATCTGCCCTCCTTTCTATCACTCCTATCCGCTTATCCCCTTTGTCTTCTATTTTCCTGTAGGGAAAGATAGATTTCTGTATCCCATTGCCAGTATATCTTATTTCCCAGTTGCATGTGAAAACAATTTTTAACATTTGTTTTTAAAACTTTGAGTTCTAGTTTCTCTCCCTTCCTCCCTAGTCATGTTATGAAAGACTGTGTTTCTCTCCATCCTGTCTCACCCCCCCATTTATTCTGTTCTCTTCTTTGACTGTGTCCCTCCTCAAAAGTGTTTCCTTCTGATTACCTTCTTCCCCCAATCTACCCTCCCTATCATCCCCCTCTCTCTCATTCCTTTCCCCGATACTTTCCTGTAGGATAAGGTAGATTTCCATACCCAATTGAGTGTGTATGTTATTCCCTCCTTAAGCCAAATCTGATGAGAGTAAGGTTCACTCATTTCCTTTCATCATCTCCCCCTCATCCCTTCCACTGTAAAACCTTTTTCTTGCCTCTTTTATATGAGATAGTTTACCCCATTCTATCTCTCCCTTTCTCCTTCTCCCAGTACATTCCTCTCTCACTCCTTAATTTTGTTTTTTTAGATATCATCACTTCATCTTCAGTTCACCCTGTGTCTTCTGTCTACATATATATACACATTTATGCACATATGTATACACACATATATATATACACACACACACACACATATATGTGTATATATATATCCTCCAGCTACCCTAGTACTGAGAAAGGCCTCATGAGTTACGAATATCATCTTTCCATGTAAGAATGTAAACAATTCAACTTTAATAAGTTCCTTATGATTTCTCTTTCCTATTTACCTTTTCATGCTTCTCTTGAATCTTGTATTTGAAAGTCAGATTTTGTATTCAACTCTGGTCTTTTCATCAAGAATGCTTGAAAGTCCTTTATTTCATTGAATGTCTATTTTTTTTCTCCTGAAGGATTATACTCAGTTTTGCTGGGTAGGTGATTCTTGGTTTTAATCCTAGCTCCTTTGACCTACAGAATATCATATTTCAAGCCCTCTGATCCTTTAATGTAGAAGCTGCTAAATCTTATGTTATCCTGATTGTGTTTCCACAATACTTGAATTGTTTCTTTATGGCTGCTTGCAATATTTTCTTCTTGACCTGGGAACTCTAGAATTTGGCTATAATATTCCTAGGAGTATTCTTTTTGGGATCTCTTTCAGGAGGTGATTGGTGGATTCTTTCAATTTCTGCTTTACTCTCTGGTTCTAGAATATCAGGGCAGTTTTCCTTGATAATGCCTTGAAAGATGATGTCTAGGCTCTTTTTTTGGTCATGGCTTTCAGGTAGTTCAATAATTTTTAAATGATCTCTTCTGGATCTATTTTCCAGATCAGTTATTTTTCCAATGAGATATTTCACATTTTCTTCTATTTTCTTCATTGTTTTGGTTTTGTTTTATTGTTTCTTGATTTCTCATAAAATCATTAGCTTCCATTTGCTCCATTCTAATTTTTAAGGAATTATTTTCTTCAGTGAGCTTTTGGACCTCCTTTTCCATTTGTCCAGTTCTCCTTTTTAAGACATTCTTGTCCTCATTGGCTTTTTGGACCTCTTTTGCCATTTTGGTTAGGCTATTTTTTAAGGTGTATTTTCTTAAGTATTTTTTTGGGTCTCCTTTAGCAAGCTGTTGACTTGTTTTTCATAATTTTCTTGCATCACTCTCATTTCTCTTCCCAATTTTTGCTCTACTTCTCTTAATTGGTTTTCAAAATCCTTTTGAGCTCTTCCATAGCCTGACACCATTTCATATTTTTCTTGGAGGCTTTGGATGTAGGACCTTTGACTTTGTTGTCTTCTTCTAAGTGTATGTTTTGATTTTCCTTGTCACCAAAATGAGATTCTGTGATCTGAGTGTTTTTCCAGTGTTTGCTCATGTTCCCAGCCAATTACTTGACTTTTAAACTCTTTGTTAAGGTAAGGGTCTGCTTCCAGTGTGGAGAATGTACTGTCTCAAGCTTCAGAGGTTTTGTAAAGCTGTTTTCAGAGATACTTCTAGGGAGACAGCTATATGGCACAGTGGATAGAGCTCTGGCTTTGGAGTCAGGAGGACCTGACTTCAAATCCAGCTTCAGACACTTGACATTACTAGCTGTGTGACCCTGGGCAAGTCACTTAACACTGATTGCCCCACCAAAAAGCAAAAAACAAAAACAGAGATACTTCTAGGGACCTGTAAGTTTTCAGTTCTTCCAAAATGGTATGTTCAAAGGTGAGGTGTTTACTCCTTTCCTGGCCTGTGCTCTCGTCTGTGAGTGACCACAAATACTGTTTTCTGCCTTGAAACTGTGAGGAGGATTCCCTCTCCACTGCCTCCACATGTTCAGCCGCACCAGTGTTCCTCCTCACCCCAGGACTGTGACCCAGATCCAAGCAGAGGCAAAGACAATCCTGCCTCAGTGCCAGCAAAGAGATCCCTATAATCCCCTCTGATCAGCTTCTCGGTTCCCCCACCTCCGTGGGCCAAGAGCAGCGCTACTGTCACTGCCACTGCCACAGGGCTGCACCGGGGCTAGGGCCAGGACCACTGCTCCTCTCATCCGGGTCTGACAGACCTTTCCTACTGACTTCTAAGTTTTCTTTGGTGTTTGTGGGTTGAGAAGTCTGGAAACCGCCACAGCTGCCCGTAATTCAGTCCCCTGAGGCCTGCTCCAGGTTTTGGGGCCTTGTTTTTGCCTGTGCGGCCCATGCTGAACTGCACTCCTCTCCCAGCCTGGTGCAACAGACTTTCCCATCAACCATCCAGGTTGTCTTGGGCTGGAAATTTGTATCACTCTGTCTTTTTGTGGGTTCTGCTGCTCTAGAATCTGTTTAGTCATTTTTACAGGTATTTGGAGAGGTTTGAGGGAGAGCTCAAGTGAGTCCCTCCTTTTATTCCACCTTCTTGGCTCTGCCTCCCACCTTCTTTCTTTTATTTCCTTTCCTGGTAGAATCTGTTGCCCTCACTTCCCTTCTTCACCCTTTTCTTCCTACCCCTCCTTCTATTTCTCCTCCTTTCCCCTGTTTATATAATTTAGTTGATCATTCAGCAAACAATTATTAAGCACCTACTTTCTTCCATAGTCCTGTTCTAGGAGCTGGGAGAAATAGAAATGTTATATAAGACATGCTCTCTTTCCTTATAGAGCATGTAGGATAAGGTACACACACAGGAACTGTTAATGTATTGTATTTTATGTTAAGTGCAAAGTGCTATGGGAGGTCCAAGGGGATTTTTTTTTTACCTCTCAAAGTCATCACCTACGAAGGGGAATGAAAAAGGAATAACACGGTATGTGGTGGGTAAGGAGGGTACAGAAAATATAGTAGTGTAGTTGCTTGGATTATAGAATAGGTGGAGGGGAGTAATATGTAATAAGACTAGAAGGTTTAGGTGGCACCAGATTATGTGGTGCCCTCAAATGTCAGGCAAAAGATTTTGAAATTTACTTAATAGGTCATTTGGAGCCACTGAAGATTTTTGAGCAGAAGAATAACCTCATCAGATCTGTGCATACAGATGATTATATTGGCAGTAGTATGAAGGGTGTATTGAAGGAGAGAAAGAGTAGAGGTGGGAAGACTTGTTAGAAGGGTATTGTAGTCGTGTAGCCAGATGATAATAGAATAGAGCAGCAGTCCTCAAACTTTTGATCCCTTTATACTCTTAAAGATTATTGAGTCTCCCTTCCCAAGAACTTTTGCTTATATGGCTAAATATATTAATAATTACCATATTAGAAATTAAAATGTTTTAGTGTTATTATGAAAATAATTTTGAACTTACAGACCTCCCCCACCAAAAAAGAGATCTCCAAGAACCTTCAGGAGTCCCCAGATCACACTTTGAGAACCACTGGAACAGAGACTATGTCTACCTGGTAGAATCTCCTCTTCTTTCCTCTCTTCTCTCTAGGGGAAGGTGGGGACAAGGGTGGAGTGGGGTATGGGAAGTAACATGTCCTCTGGACCTTCTTAGCAACTATGTTCTTTTTTAAAAATTCAATTTTATTTTATTTTCAATTTCTAATTATTACCCTCTGCCTTCCCCCTCCCAATGCATTTAGAAGGCAGAAAACTAAAACTCATTACAAATATGTATAGTTATGCAAAACAAATTCCTGCATTAGCCATGTCCTGTCCAAAAAAAGAAAGAAAAAGGGGAAAAAAAATATGCTTCAGTCTGCACTCTGAATCCATCAGCTTTCTATCTGGAATAGATAGCATGTTTCATCAATGAGTCCTTGGGAATCGTGGTTGGTTATTGTGTAGATCGGAGTTATTACTTAAGTCTTTCAAACTTGATTATCCTTACAATCTTCAGCAGTCATTTTTTAAATGATGAGGCTTGATGCTCTCCACCAATCAGAGGGCATCGGCAGAAGGAGAAATAGGATTAGAAGAGATCTTTGGATGGGGTTGAATTTTCTTGTACTCATGTCATTATCATGAAGTGACACAGGTTGGTACAACATCACAGGGGCATTCTTGTATTAGAGCACTGAATTTGCCTTTTTTGGAATTCCTGACTCTCTTGTTGTGTCTCTCTACAGATTGGACAAATGGCAGATGACACAGTGGCTGAGATGGACAAGCACTTGGCATTGAAGACCAAGGAACTCTTGGGATAAGAAGGAAACTCCCAATGAGGCCAGCTGTGGGAAGTCTGCAGAAGCAACAATGCCCTAGGCTGCACTTTAGGGCCAAAGCTTTGGAGCATTGCAGTTGATTGGATTCTTCTCTCCTGTGCTTTTTGTATTACTCTTAGGAGATGTCCTTTTTGGATGTCTTATTCAAGCCAAAAGATTGTCTCCTGTCTCCAACCACATCAACTTGTATAGGACTGGACCATTATAACTCTTAGATGACCTTAATATGGAGTGGTTTTATGCTGGGCATGCCTCCACTAAGTAAATCCACTAAGTAAATACTTGTAGTTGTGAAATATACCCATGCCAGGCTCAGTTTCCTTCATTTGATGTTCCTAAGGGAGCAAGAATATTAGTAAATTATGACCCTCTGTCTCCTCTCTGTCTGTGACCTTCTGTCTCTCTTGAAGCACTACCTCAAGGAATCGTTAGTGTGCTTATTTTCTTCCTTTTGATTGAGAAAGTGGGTGCATTTTGTACTACTAATTGCTCCTGAGGTTGAACTCCGTGTTCACAGTTGGAAAACTTTACCTGTAATTGATAATCTGAAGCTAGGCCCCAATTTTAAATGCCTCTGTATTTTGCCTGTAGTGAGTTTTCATGGATGAGTTAGGTCTAAATAAAATGAAATGAATAAAAACAACCAACAGGGATGAAATCTTTCATTTCCATGTCTTCTCTTGATTTGAGACCCTTGTTCCAGTAACTTAAAAAACAAAAACAATTGGAGTGGCCCACCTTCAGAAATTCATTTAAGTTAGAAGCATGGAAATAGAAGATTTTAGAGCTGGAAGAGACCTTAGAAATAATATACGCAGAAATATTTCAAGACAGGTTAAGTGACTTGCCCAAGTTACTGAATCTTGTCAAAGGATAAAATTGCCTGGGAAAAAAGCAAGAGGTTCAAACTGGGAACAGAAATGTTAAATCTCAAAATCACCAAATGCTAGAACTGAAAGGGTCCTTAGAACATACAGTGTTGGAGCTGAAAAGGAACAGAACACACACAATGTTAGAGCAAAGAACATAGAGTGTAGAATTGTAAGGGAGGTTAGAATGCATTGAATTTTAGAACAGAACAAAATCTTAGAGCAACAAGGCACCTTAGAGGTTATCGAGTCCAGTCCCCTCAGTTTTAGAGGTGTAGGAACCAAGGCTCGAGAGATTAGGTGACTTGCCTAGGGTCACACAACTAAGATGTGTCTGAGGCAGGATTCAAATGCAAGTCACATCATGCTACCTTTCCAAGGAGCCCCACTAATCTTGGGGCAAGTATAATTTCTTCCCACAGTTCACATGATGGATGCTTTCTAGTCAGTGTCACAACTATAAGACATGTTCCTCCCAAAAGGACCTGATATTTTAGTGGCTTGCAAGCTCATATGGATCTGCTATTGTGATATGGTAGCCAAAAAGTCTAATGAAATCTTGCACTGCATTAAGAAAAGCACAGTGTGCAAAGTGAGGAAGGTGACAGTCTTGCTCTACTTTGCCTTGATCAGACCATGTCTGCGCTAATATGCCCAGTTCTAGGCACCACATTTCAGGAAGGAGAGTCTCTAGAGGAAGCTGATTGGGATTGTGAAAGGCTTTGAGATGTTGTCATATGCGCAGCTTCAAAGTACAGGGGGATTTTTGTTGTAGAGAAGGTCGAGGTGGGAATGGAGTAGAATAGTTGTCTTCAAGTATTTGAGGTGACATCATGTGGAAGACAGATTAGATTTGTTCTGTTTGAGGAAAATGATAAATGTTGGAGAGGATGTGGGAAAATTGGAATGCTAATACATTGTTGGTAGAATTGTGAAATGATCCAACCATTTTGGAGAACAATTTGGAACTATGCCCAAAGGGCTACAAAAATGTGCATACCCTTTGATCCAGCAATAGCACTTCTGGGGCTGTATCCCAAAGAGATCAAACAAATGGGAAAAGGACCCACATGTACAAAAATATACATAGCAGCTCTTTTTGTGGTGGCAAAGAATTGGAAATTGAGAGGATGCCCATCAATTGGGGGATGGCTGAGCAAGTTGTGGTATATGAATGTAATGGAATACTATTGTGCTATAAGAAATGATGGAACAGGCTGACTTCAGAAAAACCTGGAAAGACTTATATGGTCTGATGCTGAGTGAAGTGAGCAGAACCAAGAGGACTTTGTACACAATAACAGCCACGTTATGCAATGACTAAAATTGTTGACATTTCCAGAGGCCTCAGGATGGATAATGCTGTTCACATCCAAAGAAAGAACTATGGAAGTCGAATCACTATCACTTATTTTTACCTTCTGTTGAGTTTTGTTTCGTCTTTCTGATGGTTCCTCGTATTGGTTTTAATTTTTACTTACAACTTCACTAATGTGAAAATATGTTTAATGGGTATGTAAATGTAAAGCCAATATCAGAATGTGCGCCATCTTGGGGAGGGTGGGGGGGAGGAAAAGGGAGAAAAATGTTCAACTCAAAAGCATATGGAAAAAATAAAAAAATTAAAATAAAAAAAAAAGATTTGTTCTGTTTGGTAGGAGCAAGGGGGTAGAAGTAGCAGAGGGGCAAACTTAGGCTTGATGCAAGGAGGACCTTTGGGACAATTAGAGCTATTCCAGAGTCAAATGGGCTTCCATGAGTGGGAACAGATCTTGTCTGAGATCTTCAAGCAAATGCTCAATGTTACAGAGAGGGTTCCTGGTCGGGAATAGGTTGGATTCTTTGGCCTCTGAGGTCCCTTCCAACCTTGAGATTCTGCAATAACTGCCTCTAATTAGTGGCTGAAATAGCCCTCCAACAGCAAATATACTTCCACCAAATGCAGGATTTTTTTTTTAATAAACAGAGGAAATGATAAATTATGTAGTAACTCCACTCCAAAGGCATTTGGTTCTTAACAGCCGAGTCCTCTGTAGTCTTTAAATAAACAAAAACTTATTTTGTGAACAGACAGGAAAAAAATGAAAGATTTTCTATACTCGGGTTCCACATGTCAACAATTTCTCCCCTGTGTGTATTTTGGCCAGAGCTCTATATCATGATAAATGAATAAAGGAAAACCTCGAGCCCAAGGCAGTCCAGACAGCTCAGCAAATGGCTTTCAGCTGATTACTCTATTTTAGTTGACATTTATCAAATAGTTTCTTGGTCCCTCTCTGTGTCTGTGCTGCAGGGGTAGCAGAGACTGAAAGGCTTTACCTGCCCAAATATGCTGAGAAGTTCTGGAGCAAGTAATATGCTTTTATTAAAAGGGGAAAGGCTAGGTCAGAATGGAGAAGCAGTGTACTGTAACGTAAAGAACACTGAATGGGGTGGGGGGGTGGAGGTGTCAAAATATCCAGATCCAAGCTCCAGCTCCCTCTAATTAGCAGCATAGCCTTGAGTAAATCACTTACCCCTCTGGACTTCAATTTTCTTACTTGTAAAATGAGGGAGTTGTGCTCAGTTGTCTAATACTCTCTCTTCTAAGTTCTCTTACTTCCTGTTTTTTGTTCTGTCTTCTAAGGTCCTTTCCAGCTATACTATTCTTCATTCTAAGGCCTTTCCTTGCTCTTATATTCTTTGTTCTTTGTTCTAATATCCTGTGTTCTAAGATCTTTTCCAGCTCTAACATTCTAACACTCTAAGACAAACTCTTAGAGTTTAGATACTGGGTGTATGGAATACAGAGAGGCTATTAAAACAAAACAGATGCAGTAACCAGGGGCAGGGGCAGGGGGAGGAGGGCAGTGGGCCAAAATAGACAGTTTGACCTGAGTGGGCATTAGGCATTGAGTGGGTGAGCTGAAAAGTGATCACTGAAAAAAAAAATACAATAACCAATCAGGAAGGTTTTGCTGAGGGTACAGGAATCTCTGAATACATGGATTGAAAAGGAGTGGTCCCCTAGGCCTAGGTGGTGTCCCATAGCAGTGGTAGTGTAGGTTTTTGCTAAGGGACTCAAATCTATAAACCTATCCAGATGAAGATTTGGTGAAGGCTGCAAAAACTAAAGGGAAATAAATGAGCAGAAGGTGTTGATCCTGCCAAAAGAATTATGGGGAAGGAAGAGCTTTGACAAGTATACGAAGGAAGAGAAATTCTAAGAAGTAACCTTTGGGGACAAGATGAACAGTTGTTTCATTTTTTGCCATCTGTCATTAAGAGAATAAATAATGAAAAGGGAGAAGGACCAAAAGTAAGGTAGACCTTAGCCTTGAATTCAAAGACTGGTAAGAGTCAGTGTTGTAATGAAAAGTTCATTGGATTTGGAATCAAGATTTGGACATCAAATCTTGGCTCTGACACTCACTGCTAGTATGACCTTGAACAAGTCAGTTAACCTTTCTGTGCCTCAGTTTTCTCATCTGTGAAATGAGGGCATTGACCTCATGACAGAAAGTGATAGATGAGGTGCAGAATAAGGTACAAATTTTTGAACATGGCCAACATGTACATTTGTTTTGTTTGACTATAGTTTTGGTTTTGTTTTTTGTTATAAGAGAAGGTTAAATTTGGGGGAGTGGGGTGGGTTGAGAAGAATTTCATGAACAGAGGGTGCCTAGTGATGGTAAAACAGAAACCAAAAAAATGATAAGAGCATCAGAGAAGCATTTAATATAATGCATAGAAGAAAATAGAATGAGTTCAGAAGGAACATAGATGAGCAAGAGCTTTGGAACTAACATATTGAATTTATTATTTGCTGAAAACTCCAACCTATACATGACAGAGATTCACTTTTTTGTGTACATTTCTCTTTTTTTCATGTTTTGTATTTGGAAATGTCCATATTTGTTGATGTTTGTCGACTTTAGAATAACTATATGTGTGTATACATTACATATGTATGTACATGTATATACACACATGTATACATATATATTTTTTTAATGAGTAGTTGGACTAGCAGATCTTTGAGGCCCTTTCCAACTCTGAATTCTTTGATCTTCCAGAGTGGATTGATGGCTGTCATTCAAGATGGTAGCAGAGTGAATTGATAATAGCTCATTTAACAGTGCCATCCTCACAACTCTGTGTGAGGTAAGTAGTGCAGACATTATTGTTTCCATTTTTGCAAATTGGGAAATCAAGGTCCAGATCAGAGAAATAAAGACTATAGTCATATTATTTTATCCTCAGAAGAACTTTCCTGATTGGGTTTTTTGGAGGGCTATTATTGTTTTAATTGGTCATAATACTTAATAATATGTAATATGTTTTTACAATAATATTAAAACAATAACTAATATAATAATGGTAATTGTTTTGTTTTATTTTTCCTATTACTTCTTTTCTGTTCATTGACTCAGTGCCTAATGTCCACTCAGATCACACTGTCTGTTTTTCCCATTTCTTTTCCCTTTTTATTGTATCTGTTTAACTTTGCAGCATTCCATACACCTCCATACCCAAACCCAGGTCTTCTGATTTCAAGTCCATTGTTCTTTCTACTATACCCTGATGCCTTTCACTATGGCTTTTTCTAGACTCTATTTATTGCTAATACAAGCTGCAATGTAAACTTGTTTGTTATGACCCAAGTCAGTTGCTGGTTCATAGAGCTGGTTGCTGACATGATTGTTATCTCTTTCCAGATTGACATCTTTTACCTGGTACCAGTATTAGCTCTAATATTCTGTGTTTTGTCTTAATATTTTCTGTGTTAAGCTCCTTCTCTTCTGTGTTCTTAAATTTATCCTCTAATGCTTTATTTCTTTGATTGCTAACATTTTATGTTTTGATGAGTCTCATAGATAATACATGTGTCTCAGTTATTATAAGTGGAAACTCTCCTCCTTTAAACAATGTTTGGATTTGATCTCCTATAGCATCCAGGTATTAAAAGGTGCTACTGGGACTTAAGCAAATCAGCACCATGGCCAGCAGTCAGGCTAGTGCTGACAGAATCATATTAATAAGGAAAAAGTCCTGGGTTCAATCACTTCAGTTGGTGAATTAAAGTTGTTGCTCTGCATGCTACAAAAGGTAGTGGAGAGAGAGATGACACAAACAACATTATTGTGCCGAAGAAGGCCTGGATCTTCAAACTCTTTTACCAACAACCGTGTGACCTTGGATGAGTCATTGAACTTTTCTGGGCCTCAGTTTTCTCACCTGTAAAACGAGAGGCTTAGATCTAATAATATTGCAGGACCTTTACAGCTCTAACATGCTATTCTAAAGTATTTTCAGCTCATTCTATGTTCTAACATTCCTTCCAAATAGAACATTCTCAGGTCTAAGATTCTAGGTTCCTAGATTAATAGATTCTAAGTTTGTAGGGATCTTAGAGGACAACTAGCCAAAGCCTTTCATTTCACACATGAGGAAATTGAAGATCTGAGAGGTTAAATGACTTCCCTGAGTTCACACAGGGAGTTACTGGCAGGATGAGAATTCTAATCTAGGTCCTTTGCCTCCAAGTCCACTGATCTTTCCATGGCTGCTTCTCTGTTCTAACCTCCCTTCCAATTCTGACCTTTTATATATTTTTATATTCTGTGTTTTAATGTCCCTTTAAGCTCTAGCAATCTTTTAAATTTTCTAATAGGCTTTGTTTTAAGGTCTCTTCCAGCTGTATAAACCATGTTCTGTGTTATAACATAGTATGTTTTAAGGCTCTAACATTCTGTGGCCCTATGTGATACCCAAAGCACGTTTACAACTGGAACCTGAGGTGTTTCTGTGACACAGGGATCGTTCAGAGACATCCCCTCCCCCTGCTCTCCCTACCCAAGCCTGGCCTGCTGGGAACACAATCTTCCACGGAAACAGCA